TTTACAATACCATGTAATACTATGAAAATACTATGGTATATGAATATGAAAATTACTCCGTAACATGTTGCATATCAAGTACTAAGACGTCTGTTGCCATACCGGTATCATAGTTCTGTCATAGTACTGTTTGTAAGGGTTGCGTGTCTTTTTCAGGGGGACTTCAAAGTGACAGAGCGCAGGGTTTTAATGAAGGAGCTGATAGACGCTTTAGATGACGGACGGATTCTGGAGGTGTTCGGTTCGGGCACTGCATGCGTGGTGTGTCCAGTTGGCAGTCTGCTCTACAGAGGACAGGTAATGCTTCTCTAATGCAAATGTCCACTGTCAGTATCTTGCCAGTGTAATAAACATTTGTACATTTACTGCAAACACAGTTCTTCTTATTTAAATCTTTTAGACTTACCAAATTCCCACAATGAAGAACGGACCGGACCTTGCCAAGAGATTCCATAAGGAGCTCACTGACATCCAGGTAGAGAAGTTTTTCAAATAGCCCTTGAATTATTAATAAATTATTTTTTTCTTTCATTCCATTGTTACACTGTCTAAACCTCTGCCTTGTTTCTCTATGTACAGTATGGACGCACTCAGCGGGACTGGGCACCGGTGATCATCTAACTGATCTGACGCAGGTTTCATGTCTAAAACCTCTCATCTCAGGTGTTATTCTACAGTAACAACCTTTCTAAACAGAAAACCACCTATTAAATGTATGCCGTCTTTCCAAATGTCCTTACATGCTTGCTTGGATATCCATATGGCACAATTTGTAGCACTAGAGATCGTCCTTAAACCTAAGCTCAAGCGTCATAAGCCATAAGCAACTATAGGCAACAAGCAAATATTTTTTCCTTGCAATAGTTACTGATCCAATCTGTAAACTTATTTTCTTTCTTTTTTTTTTATCAACCCATCATCTTTTGCTGTCTCCTAAAATTGTATTATTTTCCTACAACTTCAACTTCGACATCTGAGAAGGTTCAGACTTCAGCATGTAATAATTTTAATGTAAATGTTCGTTCACTGAGCTGCTTGTTTGTTTGTGTAACAGGAGAACAGACGTCACGATTTTCTTCCTTACTAGCAAGAGGACAGAGCTATTAATTTTGCATCAATTTAAACAGTTCTGTTTTTTTTTTAAAGACACTAAATTGGTCTTTTTATGTCCAAATTTGTAAAGCAAGTGTAAATGATTGTATATGTCTGTTTAGAGAAGGACAAAGACAATGTGTTATCGCCAGATTTAGATGATTTAAAACCATGAGCTGAACTTATGCACGCACAAAGGGCTTCGGGACGGCCCAGACATAGCAGCTCTTGAGACCACTAGAAAAGTCTTGATGTGATAATTGTAGGTGATCATTACTAGGCTCTGTGTGTGTTATCTATATGATATCCAGAACAACAATGTGACCTGTATGTACATGTGTTTGTGAAATATATGATGTTTACTGAACATGTAGAATGTATCGGTATTAACTTATTTCTGGTGTTGTTTTAATGGTTAGAATACCTATCGTTCATTGTGAAACCCCCATTTTTTTCTTCATTTTAAACTTGTATTTTAATCCATGCACTCCACATCTATTGTGTCTAAGTGCCTGATGGAGTTGGCTGTTACTTTCTCTTTGTTGGCTGTATCTTTCACATTTTTACTGTGCTGAGGGGGCTGCTGCTGCTGCACTAATGATTGGTTTGTTTTGTTTGAAGGGTTTTTCGGAGTAGATGTCTTTACTTTTTCTGTTACTGTATTTTTTACAAATAAATTCCATTTGCTTCCAAATACGTAATATGCTTTTGGCTTCAACCGCCTACAAATATTTGTTTCTGATAGTCTAGTTTGCTTGGTTAAGCATACATTTTGGTCAACGTTAATATTTGTAAAATGTTTAGGAACTTCTTGCACACATTATTTGCTAAATTTCAATAACTAAAAACATGTCTGGTTCATATTTTATCCTAAAAGAAATCCAAAAGTATAAGAAAAAGTAACATTTTTAGTGCCATTAGGAATTTTGCGTAGTTTAATTTTTTTCATGACAATTAAGCCCATATCTGCCAACATTTTTCATTACTGTAATAACAACAATAGGATAATTATTCACCAGTGAATATGACTGACTAAAAACAAAATCAAAACAGCCAAGCAAATATGCTTAAGTGTCACGTAACGTCATAAAAAAGAAAAAAATGTGTGTGTGTATATATACAGGTACATCTCAAGAAATTAGAATGTCGTGGAAAAGTTCATTTATTTCAG